AGCTAAGTCAAAGTCTTTTTATATTTGCCATAATAACAGTGTTATCGACTGGAGACTGTTTAAGTTTTGAGGGCAAAATAACAAGAAGCAAGTGCCTGAATGGCAACAGTCAATCATTCAATCGTACTAACTGCCAGTTGCTAAATGCAAGCAGTTCTCAAATAAACAGCAAAAAAAGAGGTCATAGAGGATGATACATCAGAAAAGATAATCGTAAATCATTGTAAAAGGATAGTTTCTTTCCATATTTACTTTATTGGCTTTTGCAAGCAGTAGTTGTCAGTAACTCTTATAATATGGATAAAACAAAGAAAAAAACGAACCCTCCGGTCCATTTAGAAACAAATGGTTATTCGCAAAAAAGAAAAGAAGAAGCTGAAGATTGTGACAAATTTCAAACAAATATTTTTGTAAAGTTTGCTGAATTAAATTGTTTTTCTTTTTTTCAAATACTAAAATAGCCTCATTTAAACAGTTTTGATCAACAAACTTTGATGAGTATTTGCGATCATCTTCCATTGGTCCAAAGCAGAAGAACGACAGTGAAAAACTGAAATATAGGGAAATGAATAGGAGAGTATGGAAGAATTTTTGTAACGGCAGAGATTAAAGAACTGTGTTTGTCAATAACCGTATATACGTTTATATAATTGTGTACAAATAGATGGCAAAATATAGTCAAAAATAATGTAATTTTTTTGATCTGTTCAACAATTAATAAAACATATTTCGTTGACCGTCTAAACCAGAAATTATATATGACCATCAAAAAGTTTTAAGTTAGTCAAAAGAGAAGATCGACTAAAACAGTCTTAAAAGAGCACTTTGTTCAAACAAAGGAAGGGGAAAAAAAAGAAACTCTTAATTAACATATATTTCTCTCGAATTGTATGACCAACAATGATATCTTGCAGTTGTTCAATAAATTAAACTTCTGAAAGTCCAAAGGGACTTAAAGAAAAGAATGAAGAAAAAAAAAACCAACAATTTATTTTTTTATTTTGGTATTAATTATCAACTATGAAAATAGACTGGTTCTTTATGTCTTTTCATTTTTTTTTTATACTATTAATTTTATTCTTATATTTCTGTCTATCATTCGCTGAAATATATTTTAAAAAGATAGCAGAGAAAAGTGAAATGAAAAAAAACTGGAGGAATTTAGAAGCAATAGGATCTACAAAACAATAGAAAAATTTTTAGAACAAACTAATACTCTGACAGATATAACTGCAGTTGTATAAAAAATGGATTAGTTTAGGAAAACGTTAAAGATTTTTGGTCATAAAGACTGTTTTTTTTTTTT